TCAGATACCTTATGACTCTAAACAAGTTATCTTTTTCCCTCTTTTGCATTTTTATTTAAAATATCAGAGAAGATAAAGCAAGTTCAATTTCTCCAGTTTGAAAACGGTTTATAAATTATGCTTCCCTTGTATGCAGAGAGACCTAGATTGACTTTGGATGTTTAGTCATTCAATTGCATCATCTATCTGTGTCTGAAATCTATAATGGGCAAGGGAATCAAATGTAATTAAATGAGCAAATAATCTCTAATAGCCAATATTCCTACATTGTTTCATCGTTTTATGTGCTTTGCTCTAGACTTTTAATCTCGGCTTTATCTGTAATATTCCCAGAAGGACAGGGAAGGTTTTTGTTAAGGTTTTTGTGTCTGTGTGGATAGCAACTATCGGTTAATCTGGGGCACTGGGACCAAGCTAATTATAAAGCCAGGTAAGTCTCAGAGACGTGACTGTAAGGGAGAGGAGACACTAGTTGAATAATGCACAAAGTGTAGCATGTAGATTATATTTTTAAGAACAATTCAGCCTGCTGGAGACAATGCACTCAACCCAAATGTAGTCTCCACTCCCAGTGAGAAGCAATGTGAGCCACCAACTCTTTTGTTTGGTCTGGTAGCTTCCGGAATAAATAATGCTTAACTAGCCCTCTAAGAGAGCAGAGTCAAGTTGTTAGGGAGTATTTAATTCCCTCTGATATGGCTAAAACTTTTCCAAGGACAGAACCAGCCTCATTCCATTAGAAGAGCAAATTCAGAGAACAAGGAAGGGGTCACAGCCAAAGACAGTGAAATATTCAAAGATGAAGAATAGCAAGTCTGCAGCTCTCCTGACATCCTTGCCTCAGGCTGCTGTCCCATATGGAGAGCAGATGCCTGCAAAGCTCTAGGTCACTTGCTGGAGTTGTTCAGGGTTCTGGGCTTTGGGATGTAACTTAAATGGCAGTGTCAGGGCATGTCAGGGGAATATGAAGGCTGCAGCAATGCCTGCAAGTCAGCTTTTGCTGCACTAAGCCTGGAAAGACAAAGCTGTGCTCGCCCCATCCTGCCATGCTCCTCCTTGAGGGTTAGTGTAAGGCTCTCAAGGACTGTGTGAATTATGGCAGTGGTGCCAACAAGCTCATCTTTGGAACTGGCACTCTGCTTGCTGTTCAGCCAAGTACGTGAGTAGTGGCATGTGTTGGGTAGATTCTGTGTCCGTGGCAAGTGGGAAGCAACAGCCACCCTTCAGTGGAAAGGAGGGCTGAAGGTTGACTTTGTTCAGTGCTGTCATCTCTTATCTGACACGATACAGCAGGCTCTCAAATTTTCCCGTTCTCCTGGATGGCACACCACAGTCAGGGAAGAGGAAACTCGCTAATTTTATGGTAAACCCCAGGGGAGAAAAACACTACTGTGGGAAAATTTAGTTGATAAAATCAAATTGTTCTCAACTAAATGCTGCAAGCTTTATGCTTCTGTGAACCCAATTTCCCAGTCATTCATTGGCTCTGATCATACCTTTACCTGTGCAGATACAACCTCTGCTAATAACCTATTTATACAATTCTGTGTCTGCTGGTCCAAGCATCATCTTGTATAGGCCATGTTTTATTTTTCTTCCAAAAGAGACTCCAGAGCCATCCTTGGGAAAAGTGCTGAGAAGTCGGGCAAACCTAACTCCCAGCAGTTGCGGAGAAGAAAGAGAAGGCTAAGGACAGCTTCGCTCAGTATTAGAACCGTGATCCATGTAACCATCACTCTGTTTCCGACGTTTGTTTCCCTTTTGTTTTCCCTAGAATAAGTGCTTTTTGTTTGTTCCGGACACCCACTGCTCCCAGGATAAAAGAGAAATGAGACCAGTTTTTAATACTTCCTCTTTAAAGAATCAACAAGTTATAGCCATGTTAAGGACTTCCCTCTCCAAGCTTAAATTTCTATTATGTAAGAACTACTTTTAACCAAGAAAGTCAGTAACGTGGTATCACTGTCCGGGATGCTCACCCCTCTCTTTTTTTCTTCAGATATTCTATGTATGCAAAAGCTCAGCCAATGCTCAGCTTTGTGATAAAGGAGCTGTTGTGTGTCTTTATCTCTGCCTTTAGGATACAATCTTTTTATAATAGAAAATATTCACTTCTCCCATTTATTTCATGCCCGGACTTTCTTCGTGCCTGGACTTTCTTAAGGTGGTGGGAGATGGTGTGCCATTACTCTCTATCCCTTCCTGGCTGAAACAACATATAAGTCCATGGTGGAACTTCTTTGGGGGGAAAAAAAATAGGACTGTTTGACTTTTGCCACTCTTCCCTCCTGAAATATTTCTTAGGCTATCAAATAAGCACTATTACGCATTGAGAAGGCTTTGAGATAATTTGATCAGTGAGTCTGGAGGGTAATGGGATGGCTGTGTAGCTGGAAAATATCCCTGTGGATGTAGGAATGTACTGTCTCTTCAAACTTGTGTGTCTAGGGCTGAGCTCACACATATGACAGCAAGAGTTGTTAACAAATTAGATTCAGCTTTGGCAGTTTTATGCTTAGAAATGCAAAAGAATCGTAAAAGCTCATAAGTTTTGTATTTTTAAAGGAGAAATGGTTTGCTTTATGTTGCAGAACCAATTTTTCTTCCCATCATAAAAGGCCAATTTCCAGAAACGCAGGGAAAGGGCCCTCTCACCACAGTGCTGTGTGTTTGGTTGGGTTTTACTAGGGGTTTCAGCAAAGGCAGGAAGTGCTGTGGGAATAACAATGCCAGAGTCATCTTTGGAAGTGGAACTCAGCTGGTGGTGATGCCCAGTAAGTGGCCATGTTTTATTGATTTTGACCAAACAAATAAGTCCCGTGAAGTTAGTGGAGATTTAATTTAACATGTAAACAAATGTACTTCTTGAAAAATGACTTTTGCATATACATGAAATATTTGTGATTATTGAGACTGGAGCAATAATGATAAATAAAGGCAAAATGAGACCATCCCAACTCACCTTTAACATGGTGGTTTAGCCCTCTTTCTTCTAGAGATATATGGGGCTTGAGTAATTTATAGCCACAATGTCTCCTAAACTATGTTCTGCAATGATTTGTGTGTTTACTCTGATTTTAGCCACAGAACTTGTTTTCCATTCTATTTAAAATGAGTATCTATCTTATTTTAAATGCTACTAATATTCATAAGGTATCTTCTTTGTCTCTTGTGCCTGCATATATATTCATTTCAAAAAGATCTAATAAGAAACCCAAACATTGTCACATTTTGACAAATGTCCACATCTAGTCCCATAATGTCAAATTTTACTAAAAATGCAGCCTGACTATTCAGTGGAAGAAAAAAACAACCCAGAAATAGATTGACAATCCCAGATGGCTTTATAAACACAAAGGAAAATTCAGAGTGAAATGAAACGGCAGGTATGATAACATGATTTTTGTTTAATGATCAATTCCTCCATGGGGAATAAAGCTTTTTAAACACACCTCCTTGAAAAAGAGGGAAATAGGCGTTCAGGAGCCTGGCATTCCCAGGTGTGTTCCTGGGGTGTTCGTTTCTCCACATTGCCATTTTGGAGACAACAGAACCCATCCAAATGTCCAAACAAAAAAAATGATATTAAGAGGCAGGTGTCACTACATTGACTGACTATGTTATTAAATCCTACAACAGGTTATAAGTAAGACTATAGAATGACCAACCCAAGGAGCTTTAAAATAGGATAGCCTAGTATTAAATGGTTCAGCCATGGGAAATGCTGGAAGACAAGGAAATGAGGTAGATGACTCCATAGGTTTGTTTTATATCTAGTGAATATATCCATCCCATGTTAATTTTTTTTAATGACTATGATAAAGAGCATCTTTGGGGTCAGGTAGACCATGAGGAAGAGAAAATGGTACTTGGTTATTTAAGTGTCAAACAAGGATCCAGCCAGGGTTGATGGCAATGGCATAAGGCTTGCATCTCTTGGTGATGAGATACCACATCCATGGACTATGGAAGGAGAACATTTCCTAAAACACGGGGATCCCTCTGGGCCAAAATGAATGATACTCACAACCCCCTTGCTCACTAGAGCAAGGCTATAGTGAGTATAGCAAACATAAGGCAAAGTAGCCTCAGAATTTGGTAACATGGCAAATTGTAGAACTTAAGGCTTAGAGCCAAGGTGAGGGGAGGGCTCTGTAATGCAGTTCCTTCTCAGGTGAAAATCCAGGTATGTGCCCCAAGTGACCCATTTCTGCCCCAGTTTTGTTTGGGCTCTGAAAAGTGGATTCCTAGCTCAGTGGCTGTCTGCCAGGTATTTTTTGCCTACAGTAACAGAGTTATGTTTGATATTGGAAAGGAGTTTGTTGAATTGTTGCTTTTATAATTCACTCTCAGTGTCAAATGAGGTCATTCAATTTCCTCCTGCACATTTGCAATAAGCAGCATAAAATTCAAGCAGAACAACTAGAACACAGAGAAAGATGGCTGAGCTGATAAGGAGGCCCGTTTATTATAGGAGAAGAGACAATATAGGAATCTGTTAAGTCCCATGAAGGTGAAATAGCCATCAAAAAATATGTAGCTTTCCCAAAAAAAAAAAAAAAAAAAAAGTCACTGGGAGTTTTTGTTATGGTCCCAATCACTGTGTGAACACAGATTACAAAATCATCTTTGGAAAAGGGACACGACTTTGTATTCTCCCCAGTAAGTGCTGATTAAGTGATTTTCTAATATTGACTCCCACCAAGTTAAAAGCGTGGAGTGTGTTGAGTGGGAAAGTTTCTAAGACTGCGGGTGGCCTCTCGGTCCTGGGCTCTTCTCTTGCAGAGGCCCAGTCCTCACCCTTTCCATAGCTGGGCCAAATACCAAATTCTCCCCTCCAGGACTGCAAAAGCTGTTACCAGTCTTCTGCTACCCAAATATCAACTATCTTTTTCATTGTTAGGAAGAGCAAAAGAATCACGACACTGTGTCCAGAACTTATTTTCCACTCTTTCCCCCAGGCTTGTCCCTGGTAACCTTTGTTTGGACACATTGTTAAGCCCGGTGTGGTTTTTGGCTCCAACTAAATTGATTTTGGAAATGATTCCAGTATACCTATGACCCCTCTCCTTCCACCCTCCATAAAAGATCTATTTTTCTCTATTTGGCCTCTGCTGAGATTTCTGGCTTTGAGGACCCATGATCTTTCTTTTCCTTTGTTCCAGGAATAAGTGAGAGGTGATTTTTTAAAGAGCTACTTTTATGTTAGAGACAACAAAGATGATATGCCAGCCAGCAGTACATCTTGCATTGAGCCTTCTCACTCTATGCCATTTTCCAAATATTTTTTCTTTATTTAGGATAAATGACCACTATCTTTTATTTCTAGTACAGCAAAGAGTTCATCATGATGTCAGAAACGGGTTTCCTTTGGAATATTTTTCACAGGCTAACGATTGTTAGACGTCAGCAAGCAGTTCAGAAATGCATCACTGGGCTACAGCTCCATGCATGGAAGCTCATCAGCAGGGTAAACAGGCAAAGCAGGAACATTTTGATTATACCATACTTTGCAGAGATTCGGCAAGAAGTAGGCAAATATGTGCTAAGGAAGAACAAAAACTATGATTAAGTGGGGAGATTTCTAGATGATTCTAACTGGGAAGACGACTAACGAGGTAATTTCCAGGAAAACCACCAACACCAGGCATTCAGGGTTTTTGTTATGGAGGAAATCACTGTGGGAATTCAGGAAACACACCTCCTGTCTTTGGAAAGGGCACAAGACTTTCTGTGATTCCAAGTAAGTGTTTCTAGCCATCCCTGATTTTGATCAGCAATGACTTCTTCCCTTGAAAATTTATCAGTGTACCTAGAATGCTTTTGCCCCCAAGAAAGGTTTGGAAGGAGCTGGGCCATTAGCATTGAGCAGGAGGATGAACAGGTTACTCTGTTATATTTCAAAAGCCAACTGGACAGTCATAACCACACACAGAACTGGGCCCTGCACTGCACCATGACCTCATTGCCTCCAGCTTCTTCTGACCACACATCCTGGCCCAGTTCCCTCCTCTGATCCCAGAAGACCAAAGCCCTGGGCAGAGAACCAGACATAGAAAGGCTTGTCTGAGATCCAAAAGCCGCAGGTTTCTGTTTAATGCTGTTATTAATTTTGATTTGCCCAAGTAATAGACTAAAATTTCTCATTGTAAACCATTCAAATTACAGATAAAGGCCAGGCAAGGTGGCTCACACCTGTAATCCCAGCATTTTGGGAGGCTGAGGTAGGTGGATCACCTGAGGTCAGTCAAGACTAGCCTGGCCAACATGGTGAAACCCCACCTCTACTAAAAATACAAAAAGTAGCCGGGCATGGTGGCAGGCACCTATAATCCCAGCTACTCGGGAGGCTGAGGCAGGAGAGTCACTTGAACCCGGGAGGTAGAGAGTACAGTGAGCCAAGATTGTGCCTTTGTGCTCCAGCCTAAGTGACCAGGAAGGAAAAAAAAAAAAAAAAAAAAAAAAAACAGATAAAGCAAACATTCCCCTTGGCCCCCTTCCTTCATTATCATTTTCCTCCACCCCAAAAGTGACCACTGAAACCAGCTTGGTGTGCTGTGATGAGTTTCTCTGTGGAATATGTTTATGTGAAATCCTGTCTTCAGCCAGGGAAGCTTGAGAGGGAAAGGGCTCAGACTGCTGTTTGCAGGATTTCAATTAGATGTAAGGAACAGTTGCTTGGACGTGAGGGCTGCTAGCAAAGGGAAGCTATTTAAAAACTAGAAGCTCTTAATAACTAGACAGTTCTTTGGTCAGAAAACACATTGGCTGAGGACAGGAGGATGGAGTCGATGCCCTCTGAAAGTCCAGCCAGGACTCTGGAGGACTCCGAGGAATGGGCCGTTTCATAGCCCGCCTTTGTGATGCCATTCTCTCTTGCCTATTGTCTAGTTGCTGTTACAGTCTGAGCTTTTGTCAGAGCAGCTCCTATACTGTGAGTGGTCTGGTTTTCTCAACACCTGCGGGGTTTTTGCAAAGAAAGGAAACTCTGTGCATACTCTGGGTCCGGGAGTTACCAGCTCACTTTTGGGAAGGGGACCAAACTCTCGGTCATACCAAGTAAGTTTTTCTTTCTGGCTAATTATTCTTCCCAAGAACCTTGTCTTCCATCATGCAGAAGCTGTCAAAACACAGGTGGTGTTTTCTTTGCTTGGTTTGTGTTGGGTGGTTCATGATACCAGTTGGAAAACAAGGTTATTAATGCACATATTCCCTGGGGCTTTGTACTTGGACTTTTAATATCCATGTAGTCTCTCCCTGTGAGAATATGTGAACCTCCACGGAAAGAAAGGTCCAAGGAAAGGGTAGGGGGAAGCAGGAATTGGATAAAAATAGCCAAAGGGCCTGCAGGAATACAAACAAGACAGGATCCCAGGAGACAAAGCGGTAGCCACTTTGAGTGAATTTCCCAGGAGGTGCTTCTGCCAAGGCCCATTCCTTCAAGGAAAATTACAGCAAATAGAATTGGGCTGGGGAGTTGCTAGTTATTAGTATTCCTTCCAAGTTCTAACCTAATTACAAGGAGGTGGTTGTGGCCAGGGGCAGTCATCTCAGGTTTTGTTTTGCTGCTTGCCTCCCCCACCTCCACGTCTTCCTAGAGGCCTGAGTCAAGGTTATTGCAATAGCACTAAATACGGTGTAGCACCAATGCAGGCAAATTAACCTTTGGGGATGGGACTACGCTCATTGTAAAACCAAGTAAGTTGTGTTCTTCTTTGCTTAGGCCTTCAGGGGCAATCAATCAAATCATTAGTTTGAAAAAGACTTTAATCCTGTGCATCTGCTTGGGCTCTTTATTAATGTTCCTTCCCCAGGCCAAAGAGAGTTGGTTCTCTTCCCTGCTTTAAAATGAGATGTGAGTGCATGTATTCATGCACACACGTGCGTCCGCATGCAGACTCTTGCTCTAGCTCATGCTAAGGGCTTCTCAGGAGCATAGACAACATTTTGAAAGAAATAGAGAAATAAACAATAATGAGCCAATGAAGCTGTCAGGCAGGTTCTCCACCACCCTTGACCAGGCTTCCCAACAGGATCTCTGGCCATATAGGATGTGCTATATTGGATGGTCCAGGATAGGAAATGTCTCTCTCTAATGAATTCCAAAATTTGGCAACCCTTGTTGCCAGAAAGTACTTCTCATATCTAAGTTTGATTGCCTCACTGCAATTTAAATACCTACTTGAACCACTAGAACTCTGTGCATCTGGATTGATAATCAGGTCACTGCCATAGAGTATGAGGCTTGGCACTGAGTCCACCTCTGCAACACCTTTTACCTGTCTTGTGCCCCTCTGGACATTTTGAGCTTAAGTAATAATAGATTAAGCAGGATAGCACGAACTTTGGAAACAAACCTGAATTCAAGTCCTTGCTCTACTATTTACCTAGCTGTGTGACCTTGAGCAAGTTACTTAATCTCTCTGAGCCTCAGTTTCCCATCCACAAAATGAAGGTAAAAATATTCCTGCCTCACTGAGTCATTGTAAAGATGAAATAATACAGCTAAAGTATTTAGCATAGTGCTAAAAGAACATAGAAAAAGCTCATTAAACCCTAGCTATTAATAATAATGATAAACATCATCTCCAACCCACTGCAGAGCCTTTGTTTCGCCCCTCGGGCTCTTCTGTCAAGGCTCTGTTATGCATCAGGAGCAGAGCTGGAATCGGGGGAGGGTGGAGAATGTCAGCCTGTTCTATGAAATTCCTCACCTGGGATTTGAAAGTGGAAATAGAAAGAATCCTGACTAATTTAAATACAAAATCATCCAAGTGTCAGAGGCAGGGGAGAGGTTTCTGCAGACAGCTGCATGGCTGGGACTCTTGAGGCTCCACACATACCCTTGGAGCAGGGATGCGGTTCACAGGATGGCAGAGGAAGGGCTGCAGAGCTGAAAACTTGTACTACCCCATCACCAAAATACCCCCAGCATGGCTTCCTTTAAGGTGTCCCGAGTCCCTTCCCGAAAGACAGGCTCCCCATGTGGAGGGGCAGTGACGGAGGGAAGATGGAAACTTCATGGGAAGGGCAATCTGTCCCAAGGTTGTCCTTCTACTCTTCGGGGTAGTGAAGCTCGTGAGAAATATGGCTCCTGAAAACAGCTACTAAATGAAACTTTCAAACCTGGAGGTAGAGGATCAGTAAAGTCTGCAGAGACAAAATGGGGCAGTTTATTTCAAAGAAAAGAGGTTGAGGGCAAGGTGGGAGTTGAGTCACACATCTAAATCTGCGAAAGGAGGCATTAAACAGAAGATGGAGGGACTCGGCTCTCCAGCTCCACCAGGATTCAGACCACAGGACGTGGCTAATACTGCAAGAATGGAGTTAGGTTAGTGGTAAAACCTTTCTAATAGATTTTTGAACAGTGAAAATGAACTGTCAGAAGTAGTTGCCAGGGCACTTTCTCTAGAGGGTTTTTGAAAGGAGATAGACACCCTCCTATCTGCGGTGATTGGAGTACAGCCCTGCCTCGAGGCAGGAGGAGAAATGAGAGAACCTCTTTAAGCCTCTTTCCAGCCCCCAGAGCCTCTCTCCATGAAAAAGACTCAGACTCATTAATGCAGCCCTGCATCCTTCAGGACTCGGAGGGTTGCTAGCTGAAGTTTGGAACGTTTGCCGGCTTGGCGTTTCCCAAACTCCCTTTGTTCTCAAGACTTGACAGGACAAATGGGCTGAATTTTTCACCTTAAAGCCGAAAACACCGGTTCTGAGTACTGGGTTGTTTGTAGTGTTGAGATGCCCAGGCTAGAGGGAGGAAGCTCTAGAGGATTTTTGCTGAACCCAGAAACACTGTGGGGATAGCTATGGTCAGAACGTTATCTTCGGTCCCGGAACAAGATTGTCGGTGCTGCCCTGTAAGTAAGTTAAGTGGAGATAGAAAATAAGTCCAGTGCTCAATGTGGGGAGAAACTGCAGGGGCTTGAGGCTGGGAGTCCACTGTGACCTCAGGAGTGGTGATGGAGGAGGTAGAAAGGGAGTGAGAAGCAGAATCATAAGGACAATACAGAAAGGAAGGGCTCACTTTTTCAGGAAGGAAAAAAAAAAAATCACAAGGCCATATGAATAACACTGGAGGAAATTCACTCCATTGGAGAGCCCCTTCTCAGGAGGGCCTTGTGTCGGGGAAAGCTGAGCTGGTAGGTTTTTGATGCTGAGATAATCACTGTGCAGAAGGACAAGGCTTCTCCTTTATCTTTGGGAAGGGGACAAGGCTGCTTGTGAAGCCAAGTAAGTGGCATATCATTTAAATTGTGTGCTGAATATGATTATCTCCAAGAGGAAAACCTGCCCTCTTTTTTACGGGAGGCCCCTTGGGTCAGAAGAACATTAAAAGTATTGAGCAGACCAAAACCTAGTAACTCAGTCACCTTCTTCATCCTTGAAGGAGCTTTAGAGGTGTGGAGGGGAAGAAACTTACCAGGACCCCACCAGTAAGCCAGGCCTTGGGCCCATCTACTCTGTCAGATTTGAATAAGAAAAATCACCTGCTGGCAAGGTCTTCCTCAGAAGGGGACTCCAATATAGTCATCCTCATTTGATGATTTTAAAACTCAGGGCCAGACATGGTGGTTCATATCTGTAATCCCAGCACTTTGGGAGGCTGAGGTGGGTGGATCACCTGAAGGTCAGTAGTTCGAGACCAACCTGACCAACATGGTGAAACTAAAAATAAAAAAAATTAGCTGGGTGTGGTGCTGGGCACCTGTAATCCCAGCTACTCAGGAGGCTGAGGCAGGAGAATCGTTTGAACCCAGGAGGCAGAGGTTACAGTGAGCTGAGATCATGCCATTGTACTCCAGCCTGGGCAATAAAACTGCATCTCAAAAAAAAAAAAAAAAAAACCTCAGCCAAGTAGAGGCCAGTGATTAATACTTTTCCAAAGGAACAGAACCCAAGCATCCTAAAGTAGTTTTTCCAGTAGGCTCATGAATTCAAAACATAAAGTTATTTAAATGACAGGATAACCATGGTGATCAGCTGTCACTTGAGTGGTGCTGAGGACTGGGTCTGACCTAGGTAAACTCCTAGGCTGGTGAGTTTCTATCCCTGCAGTGTCCAGAGCAGATGCCCAGGCTCCACTGACCCCAGCAGTCTGGCTCTCTGCCCCTGCCACCCAGGAAGTGCAGCTCTTGGCACACATCACCCTTAGTGTCTCGAAAGAAGAGAAATTAGAAGAGAAAGGGGGAAGAGGTTATATCTCATATCATGTGGTTGCCTCATTTTATAGCAAGATTGTTTCCCCATGAGCAGTTTGTCTTCATTTAGCAGCTGTCTTCTCTGGGGAAGCCATTTTGTAGAGGTGTTTGTCACAGTGTGACAACTGACAGCTGGGGGAAATTACAGTTTGGAGCAGGGACCCAGGTTGTGGTCACCCCAGGTAAGCCCCATTCCCGGGAGCCTCGCCTGCCCTTAATATTTGACATGCCCTGCATGCCAAATATTTCTAGCTGAGACTATGAAAAACATCTGAAAGGAAGCCATTTCCCTGAACAGCAGTACCCAAAGCCATTAAGCAAAAATGAGAGATCAGATTTGTGTTAAATAGAAACACTTTTGGATAAATAGGAATTCTCATTATTCTCTATCAGTCTCCTGTGTGAATACCCTTATTCCCCTTATAAGGAAAAAAGTTACAATAAGCAGTATAGCCATGATTCATACTGTGGTGTGGGAGCAATCTGCTGTGGATTTGGGGGTGGAGGATTAGAAATGTGTTCAGGCAGATTGGATGTGTTTTTGACAGGATATGTAACACAGTGTGAATTATAACCAGGGAGGAAAGCTTATCTTCGGACAGGGAACTGAGTTATCTGTGAAGCCCAGTAAGTATAAAATTGTATCCCTGGATTAAGCAATGTCTGTGGATTAAGGGCTGATTTAGACCCAATTATATACTATATGAAGAATGTTTAGAGAGGGGAATGAGCATCAAGTAGGAAGCCAGACATCGCCTTGGCTTGGATCTGGCATCACGGTGCAAAATGGACCATGTTAAGTGTGTCTCTAGGAATTGCTCCTGAATATAGGTGTTGGGACTAAAGGTTATGACTGGCTACTTGGGGTGTTGGTTGGGATTACAGCCCTGGACTTATGCAGTAATTGGTGACAAGATTTCTAATTCTTTAACAAACCTTCTAAGCCACTATTCTATTTGGCTAAGATTATGTCAATTAATAGAAGAAAAGAACCTTGTAATGATCATTGACCAAAAGAAATGTGATTAGTCTTTCCCAGAGTCTGGGGGGAAAAAGAAAAAAAACACGTTTTTTTTTTTCATTTATTTATTTTATTTTATTGCACTTTAGGTTCTGGGGTACATGTGAAGAACATGCAGGATTGTTGCATAGGTACATACATGGCATTGCGGTTTGCTGCCTCCATCCCTATCACCTGTATCTGGCATTTCTCCCCATGTTATCCCTCCCCAACTCCCTAACCCTCACTGTCCCTTCCCTAGTCCCCCCCCCAACAGACCCCAGTGTGTGATGCTCCCCTCCCTGTGTCTATGTGTTCTCATTGTTCAACACCCAGCTATGAGTGAGAACATGCGGAAAAACACTTTTTTTAAGAGCAGTTTCCTCATGACTACTGAGGGACACTTCCTGTTTCTGAAACTTTGGCCAAAAATTCATACAGCATAGCCTCACAGAGCAGAGAGAGCCTTGACAACCTTCCTTTCTGACTTTCTCCATGGA